CATCCATTCTGTTTAATAATCTTTTGTCCAATAGTCATAAGTTAAGCATAAATATGTGTCTGACTGCAATGAATTAGTTTCCTAACAGGTGAAGGAATCCTTGCCAAGATTCTGCAGAGATCTGGTCAATGTAGATAATGTGGTACATTAGCGCACAGGCTGGCGGTTCATTGTTCTATGAATAGATATAGATTTAGCATTTATGAGAGCCTTTGAATAGGAGGAAACAGAGCAAAGAGTAGCAGACAGTCCTTCCTGGGTTTGATTTTAGTTAGCACTTTCACATCAGGTCAATGAATCTCCTGTTAGTACTAAGAAAATGTGTACTCAAATATCAATAGGTAATATGCCTTTCTTTGCAAGTGAGTTATTGCCTAAAACATTATTAATCCTATATATAAATAACTTCAAAATAATTGAAAACCTATTTTCACCCTTTCTGTTAATTTAGGTTTTTCCTCAGTGGAGAAGAAAATGTTTGCTTTGTATTTCCCCTAGTAAAGTTAAATAACCTGATTGAAAATGGGCATGAAGAAGGGGGATAGGGAGAGATTTGTTCAAAGATACAAAATTACAGCTAGATAGAAGGAATAAGTTCTAGTATCCTACGGCACTGTAGGATGACTACAGTTAACAATAACATAAAACTTCATATAGCTAGAAGGAAGATATTAAATATTCCTAACACAAAGAAATGATACATGTTTCAGATGATGAATATGCACTACATATGAAAACATCACTATATAGTCCATAAATATGTACAATTGTTATATGTCAATTACAAATAAAATTTTAAAACATAAAGAAATACACTAAATTGAGACTTGTGTTCTGGTCTAGTGTAGCCACCAGCTTCCTCTATTTTGGACAAGTCACTTGATCTGGCTAATTTATTGTTTCATCCTCTGTAGTTGAAGAGCTGAAGTCCAATGATTAGAGCTTCGGACTTGAAGAGTTGAGGTCCCATGATTCCTTTCAGCTCTTAGAATTTTACCAAAAAAAAAAAAATCAAGACAATGATGGTATCTTTTTTCATCTCATTATGTAAGGTGTTCAGACCTGCTTAAATAATACTGTGGCTTATACTTATTAGAAATTCTTTTATGATACTTGCTTTTAGTTAGTTTTAAAAATTATTTTTATTAAGACTCACATGTGTTTTCTTGTTTGAATTTAATAGCTGATTTGAATTGTCCCTGTCTCCTAAATGACTGTTCACTTTCCTTTTTTTTCTGGGTCTTCTTTTCAAGGCCAAAGGTTGAATATCGGTGACACAAATGTCTGAATAGCTCCTAGAGTACTTAGGGGCAGTGCACTCTACAGCTACTTGAAATGCTTAGTTCTTCCTTTTGCACATTCTGTTCTACTGTTTCCTCTTTTTTGTTTTCATCTCTCTTTCTCTGCACTCTGATGCTTAAAGCCTTCCTGATTTCCAGAGGTGTAAGAGCACTGCTGAGCAGCAAAGTCAGTATTCCAGAGCAGGCTGCTGTCTCCTCCAAAGATAATATACGGGAAGTGCTAGACGCAGTGCTCAGCCCAGCACTTTTCACAGAACTGGCAGTCAACAAATGGAGCTCCTTTTCCCCAAGGGTAGACATTTCCTATTCTGTTGCTTTAAATCTTCTTCACTTATTGTGGCTTTTTCTAGGTTTATAAAAAGATTATAGGTTTTGTCTGGACTAAAGAGTGGAATGGGTGGATGAATCAGACATACCCAGGATCTCTAGTTCTTACATGTCTCTGTTACCTTGTCCTGTCCCAGAGCAGCTGAAGTGGCCAGTTCTGCATGGGCTCCAGAATATTTCATAAACACAATCTGACCACACCCACCTCCTGCTCTGGAGCTTCCTTGCTGATACTGAGATATAAGACCCCAAAGGAGCTTCTGGGCATTTATGCAAGTACAATCCACAAGTCCAGATGCAGGGAGAAGAGGAACAGAGGACTGGGAGCTAGAAATTTCCACTCTGAAGAACAAATCTACGACCAATGGAGGCTAGATCAAGTGGACAAATGTTTCCCCTTTTCTAGACTTAAAGAGATTTTCCACTTTGGTAGTGAAGATTTGGGATCTTTTTCACTTGATAAAGTGAGTTGCATTTGATACAAGCTCTGTAGAACATCCAGTTATTAATTCTTTTGTTCTTCTCTGCCTCATCCCTCTCTCTCTCTCACTGGTGTTTGCCTGGGTTCGCAAAATAAAATATTCATACTGAAGTTTTTGTTTTAGGCTATGCTTCCTGGGGAAATCAGACTAAGATATTTGTCAATTTAGATGGCATTCATGAACACATAGGATCATTTATGATCTGGTGAGTTGCAACATTATGAAATACCCTTTGTGCTATGCGACATTTAAGATAGTGGGAGATTATGGAGGTCAGATGTATTAACTAGTTATCTGTTCCTGCTCTAGGCCCACCATAATTTTCTTAAATTTAATGGTCTGTGGTATGGTATAAATACATTAAGATAGAAAAAGCAGCACACATAAGTTCATAAGGATTTTCTCTCCTCAATTTTGTAGATAAGAAAGAGTATTTCCCAAATGTGAAGGGCAAAAATATTGCTGAAACCAAATATGTTTTTTATGCTTATTTTTAAAGATATGCTCACTTTAAAATGTTTCTTGCTTTTTCTACAAAGATAGGTAGAAAGATTTTGGAAATGTTGCTTATAAAAAAAGTTTCTAAGTTAATACTGGTTAAAAAAAATCCAATATTTGTCTATACAACAGTTTGGATTTCACATATGCCATCCTTATCTAAACAGATGTTTAGAGAAAACAATAGATAGTCATGTATTCAACAAATATTTGTTGTGTGTCTGTTCTGTGCTATGAACTGCTTTATGTGCTGAAAATTTAGCAGTAAACAGGATAAGCCAGGTCCTTGCTTTCATGAAGCTTATGTTCTAGAAGAAGGAAATAGACAAAAGAGCACACAGATAAATGAACAAGATAATTTTTAAAGGTGACAGTACTGCAAAGACAATGAAAGAGAGTGATATGTAAGGACTGAGGGAATCTATTTTAGATTAGGTAGTTAGGAGAGATCACTGTGGAGGTGATTTGAGCACTGAATAACTCCTAGAAGCTGGCTGTGCAAAGCCTGGGGTAGAGAATTCCAAATGTTGAGCAAAGGCCCAACAAGGGGAATGAGTTGGTACATACCTGGAGAAGGAAGCTGGTATGGCTCGAGGGTAGTACTAGGAGCTCCTATGATATGAAATGAGATCAGAGAGGTTAGAAATGGCCAGAATCTCATTTTACGTCACATGAAAGAGTTTGTGTTTTTGCAAAATGTAATGGAAATCCACTGAAAGGTCAGTAACAAAGAGCCAGTTTCATAGTACTCTCACAAAAGTTGGAATATTAAAATGAAAAATCTAGTGATTACTTTTTAAGATGTCAGGATTAAGAAGTTTGACCAAGAAAGTGATATAATCTGATGTATGTGTTGATCACACTCTGCTGGAGACATTTTCCTACTTCAAGTAAAGTGTAGAAAATTTATCTGGATATAAATCCCTTTACCCACTCTTCTTTATATTATTGTTGTTTAAATATTTCCTCCACACAAATTGAGAACCACATCAGACAATGTAATTTTTGCTCCAACTGTCTTATATAATTTAGAAAACTCAGAAGGAGATAGTTTGTTTTAGTTATCCATATTTTGGTTCTTTTCATAGCTATTTCTTCATTCTTAATGTTACAATTTCCTTCTTAATTCATTTCATTTATGTTTGAAGAACATTCTTTTAGAGTAAGTCTGTTGATGACAAATTGTCTTAGTTTTCTGTCATCTGAAGATGTCTTGATTTTATCTTCATTCCTAAAGAAAAATTGCTGGGTGTAAACTTCAGGACTTTTTGCTGGGTGTAAACTTCAGGATTGACTTTTTTTTTTAGCATTTCAGAAACATTATGTCCCTTCTTTCTAGCTTCCATAGTTTAGGATGCTAAATTTACTGTCATTCAAATAATTACTCCTCTATAAGGAATGCATCATTTTTTCCACTGTTTTCAAGTTTTTTTTTTCTTTCTTTTTCTTTAGTTTTTTGGGGATAGATGATGATGTATCTTGCTCTGAATTTCTTTGGGTTGATCCTCTTGTGGTTCACTTAGCTTCCTGAATATATAAGTTTATGACCTCCACCAAATTTGAAAAGTCTTAGCCATTATTTCATCAAATACTTTTTCAGCTACACACTTTGTCCACTCCTCAGTGGTATGCAAGTTAGACCTTTTGTTACTGTCCCTCAGCTTCCTGATATTTTTTTATTTCTCTTCAGTCTACTTTCTCTCTGTTTTTTGGATTCAGTAATTTCTATTATTCCATCCTTAAAGTTACTGATTGTTTTCTCTGTATATTTATCTCACTGCTGAATCAACCAATGAGTTTTAAAATTTTGATTACTATATTTTTTAGTTTTAAACTGCTCACTTTTCTTTGTATTTTCTATTTATTTGCTGAGATTTTTCTATGTTTTTCATTTGTTTTACTTTTTATGCAATAATTAATTGAAGCATTTTTGTGATGGTTGCTTTAAAAATCAACTATCATAATTACAGCATTTGTATCATCTTAGCATTGCCATCAGTTGATTGTCTTTTCTCATCCTAGTTGAGATTTCCTTTGTTTTAGGTTTAGTGAGTGATTTACAATTGTATCCTGGACATTTCAGCATTACGTTTGTGAGGTTCCTAATGTTACTGACTCTTCTTTAATTCACAGGAAATCACCGTGCTCAGGTGTAACGTGCAGGTTCAATTGGGAGTGGGTAGTTAGCTCCCTGCTTGAGATCTGCTGTCCCCACTCTGGTGAAAATAAAGTATTACTTCTCCTCACCTTGCTCTGCCTCATTGTGGATGGTGGGGATGAAAACTTTGCCGCTTTCTGGTCTCTACCGACACTTCCCTTGTGAAAGCAGAGCTTGCATTGCCTCATTGCTTCCTGCTGAGGGTGAAAGTTCTGCTCCCTGTTGAGTCCTGCTGACGCTGGCAGGAATGGGGAGAAGTGAGGTGCCCACTAATCCTGCTAGTTTCACCACATTGCTGCTGGTTGGAGTGGGAGTTTAGCTCCCCACTGAGCCTGCTAATATCAGAGAAGTGATTTCTGTTTTCAAAAGATCACTCTGGTTCTTTGTTGAATATGGATTGTCTTGGGACAAGCAATAATGCAAGAAAATACAGAGAGAGGCAGCTGTCAGTCAAGGTGAGAGACTGGTTTCCATGTAGATCCACTTTAAACTTCTAGGAAACTAAATGCAATAATTGTATTGTTTCAAATAAGGCTCATGTCGTGATGCCTTTTATGACAGAGGGCATATTTATTTGTATTTAGATGGAGATAATTATTTGGTTTGAAGTTTATGTAGTATACAGTTATTTTCCATGCAAGAATTAAAGCGTGTCCATTGTTTTTCTGGGAACAGACAGAAGTAGGTGAATTAACATGTTCTGGGCTCATTCATGGTTACATCAGATTTCACTTACATAAAATTTACCAGAAGTAAATAAAAATATTATAAAAGACAATAGAATGACAGTTAAAAGTTTGGGTTTTGGAATCCGGCAGACCTGGATATAAGTCCCAGCTTCCTGATTTATAAATATGTGACTTCAGAATATATATTTAACCTCTTTAAATCTCACATTCTGCACCTGTTAAATGGGTTTGAAAATACTCATTTATCATAGAGTGTTGTGAAGGTTAAGATGTATAGCAAAAATTTGTATTGTTGTATTTCACTCTTGGAAGGCACTATAGAATAAATTTTTTTCTTCTGAGGACATTTTTTATGTCTCATGATTTAAATAATTTCCTCAAAGGCAAGAAAGATTATCCAAATCTCTAGTGCATTTGGGTAAGAAGTCACACAGTTCATATATGTGTATATAAACAAATAGAAGGCACCTGATGATTTTATATTGCACTGTTGAAACTTGCAGAATTTTTGGAGAAATTAAATGCATGAATTTTTTTTTTTACCAACTTCAGTGGTATTGATGTTCAATGAATGGTGAATAGAATTAACGGCAAACTTAACCACTTAGGCTAAGCTGGTCTGGGTTACACAAGAATCCAGGAGTTACTGTCTACTACTAGAATAATTCTAATTAGGCCTATGATTTCTAAAAGCCACAAAACCTTTCTGTGTCTCTGTCTCTGAGACTGCAGTGAGGGCAGTTATTAGTTTTCTGTTCACCACGCTTGACCAGAAAGCCAATGTCATGGGTTCATTTGTGTGCTGATCTTCTGCTTGCCCGTTGATAAATGGAGTTTAAAGAGGGTAAATTTGATTCTCTTTCTCTTACTTGACTAAAACTAACAAATATTTAATAAATTCATACTATAAGCAAGGCACTTTTTATTTATTTTTATTGCATTTTAGGTTTGGGGGTACATGTGAAGAACATGCAAGATAGTTGCATAAGTACACATGTGGCAGTGTGATTTGCTATCTTCTCCCCTTCACCTATATCTGGCATTTCTCCCCATGCCACTTTAAAAGCATCCTTTAGGATAGTGAGTTATTATATAACAGTCCCTGAGATAGACCCTTTGACAATCTCTTCAACATCTATTCCCTGCCTCTTAATATTGTCCAGATGTTCATCTTCCTCCAGGTAGCCATGTGCTCAGGAAAGGCTGGTTCTGCCCTTTTTTTGGTCAAGAAGAGGTTTTCAATTTGTCTAACCAATTTTATGCCCCCCTTTCTTTGCCAGTGATGGCTTAGACATCAGTCTGTGAGACAATTTTAGTTACTAAGTAGTCTGGTGCTAGATTCCTGGAAAGGGTTTATTTATTCTTAAAAGAAGGAACTAAAAGTGAATGTCCTCCCCCTTCTTCTGGACATAGTCCTGTTCAGATGTGACACTCACAACTGTTGCAACCATCCTGTAGACGTGGGAGGAGAAGGTCCAAGGACAGCCCAGAGTCTTCCAATGGTGGAGCAGAGGTGAGCTACTCTCTGAACTAACCCAACATCACAGTTAGGTTTCTTGTATTTTTTGAGTACATCTTCTTATTGTGTAAGCCAACTGAGTCAAGATTTCCTCTGACTTCTAGCTAGAGGTAAACTGAGAAAATCTCCACATTCAAAATGCACTAATAAACTACAGATGGAATGCAAGCAAGGTGAAAACATAATTCCTTAGTGTACTATATGAAAAGTACCATGAGGGGAAATTGAACTCAAGAAATACTTCAGGGTTTTCTGCTAAAATGATATCTGTTGCCTCTGTCTAAATTCAGAGTATTTTTTCCCCGATCCTTCATTGTACCCTATTTACCCTTTACCTATACCATTTACATTATCACCTATGGTATAGTGGCATATGATTGTTTTAATTTTCTAGCATATAATCTTGAAGGCCTATATTTTTGCTGATTATACAAGTGTGTACTATTATGCAAGAGGAATTGAGGAAGCATTTTGTTGAATGAATGAATAAATAGATAAATATTATACAGGATTATAGAACTTCAGAATGAGGTGAGGCCAGACTTATCCAGGTGAAGAGATCTTATTCTACTTTATAAATACAGTTGAGTTGAATGGGAAAGGCATTGCAGAAGTATTTGAAACGTACCTTGAAAGATTTGTGAGGTTTGAATAAGGAAAAAGAAGATCCTGGGTAGGGTGTTCTGGGGGAAAATAAAGTGACAAAAGGAATATCTAAAGCAAAGTTATAAAATTGTCTAGTTTTTACCAGGGGTAGAGGTAAAACTGGAAAAGTAGTTCAGAGTCAAACTGGAAAGATTTCAAATGCCAGAATAAAGAGCTGGTCATTTACCCTCTAAGAGTTATAGAAGAACTGAAAATGGAAACAGAAGTATTAAGTTATACAAAAGTGATGTTTTATAGAAATATTAATCTAAAATTCCTCCTTGCCTACCCTTTGCCATATGAATCCAAGGACCTCTTTATAAATTGTCTTTATGACTGGGTACCTTCTAGTTGCACATATCAAGCCATACCATGAAGGGGCACATTTTCTGAATATATACTGTTGCTGATGAACATATGTGATCATTGAATACAATAGAACAGAATTCAAGTAAACATATTCTCTATGACCCTTCTCCTCCACTTTGCTTATTTTTTTCCTTCTTCAGATCTCTACTCATTCCAGGCCACTCTTTACTGTTCTTACTGAATGAGTGAAGGTATGACCCTCTGCAGTGTAAATACAGCTAGCGTTGCCATCAGACACTTGTAGTTCAACATTGGGCATGGAGATATTTAACATTAATGGAGCGCTAATGGAAGAAAGAGAAGAAATTTCAGAAAACTAACAAGAGTGGCAATATCATAGAAGATATGGGCAGTGAGAATTTTTAACATTGCTACTAAGTTTAATATGGAATTTTGGGAAGAAATCAGGACTGTGTGGAGAGCGTATCAAATGTGGACTTTTGCATAGTGTAGGTCTTGTGGCATTGTGATATTAAAGCATGTTAAGTGATGGCTGGTAGGCTAAGAAATGTATTCTGGTTACAAGCCCAAGAATACCTAGGCATAGTCCCAAGAGAAGTTTGTAATCAAATGCAGCTTGCAGAGAGAGTTTCAAATCTTACATGATTTTCATAATGAATGTTTTGGATTATCACAATATGTTTTCCTATGCTCATTTTCATCTAGATGGTGGGGGGATTTCAAGAATCCATGCCTTATACTTTTTATTTCGGTTCCTTAAGGTACTCAGAATTTCCTTGCCAGAAGGATCCATGTAAAAATTAGAATCCATCTTGAAATTCAACTAAAGACTGCATCCCTAAGTTGTTTCAAAAAATTGAGAGCTGAACATATTGTAATCCTCAGAGCTGTCCCTAGACAGACAATATTGCAGAAGTTTTTGCCCATGTGTCTTTGTTTTGCAAATGAATATGCAACATTACATTAGAGCAACAAAAAAATTAATCTTGGAATCAAAGAACCTAACAAATGTTGAATTGAAAAACAAGTTAGTTAACCTTAGAAAAAAAGAAAAGAAACATTTAGTAATTTATTAATGCTTCAAATTTTATAGTGATTTTTCCATAGACAGTCAGGAAAAGGGGAAGGAAATAGAGACTGTGTATAGAATTAAATGCTGTTTTAAATGAATATCTACTGTTGTTCCTGTAAATACCACATAATAAAGCTAAATTATTCAGATATTACTTAGAAATGTATTCTTATGAAAAGCACCAGGCACATAGCCAATCTCATTTCAAAACAAGAAGGCAAAAATTAAAATAAAATTGTACCATTTACAGAAACCATGGCTTAGAACACCTCTCATGACCAGAATTGTTAGAATTCTAGTATAAAAACTGGTGGAATTATTCTTTACACTCCCATGGAAATATTACTATGAAAATACCTTCCTTTTTCATGTGGTATTGTGGATAATCTGGAAAATTTTAATTTTTTTAATGAATCTATTCTTTTTCTCTTTAACATAAAACAGCACCTAGTCTTCTTCTTAATCATCAAAAATACATTGTATACCCTTGGTTTAAAGGCTAAAAATACACAACTTTGAATTTTCTATGAAGTTTAAGACTAATGGTGTTTGAAGAGATTTAAAAATCAAAGTAAAACTTTTCTACTTTATAATGTACTTTAAAATGTTCTCACTAACTGTTTCTATTTGGATGGCATTATTGAGAAAGAGGTCTATTAATAAATAGTTCTTTCTGAGAAATATCAAAATGGAAGGTGGTTGATAAATTACTAGCTTTGCCTTCATAGTCTTGGAAAAGAAATTATTTGTATTCTGCCTTGTGACCTGCTGGCTGTAGGTAGAAATGGTTGGACTAAGAAATTACCTTTATCATTTTCTATACACCATAAATGAGGTCAAGTGGCTTTAAGGTTTGTCTCTTGCCCCCTTCTCTTTATTGCCTTTCCACTAATCTAATTTCTCTCATTGCTAGCCTCTTTTAGTTATATTACTTCTGGTTATGACATTTTAGACAATGAAGAGTGCTCCTGAAATTTATTCTCTTGTATAATAGATGTTTTCTCTATAATTCATTCAACTTTCTAAAGTGATTTGACCATAACCCATTACAAATGAGAAAACTGGCACACAGAGAGGTTCAGTGTTGTAGTCTTATATCTTTAGTGACTGAGATATAACCATAATTTAGTTCTCTCATTTTTTTTTCTTGTTTGAGACAGGGAGTATTGCTCTATTCCTGAGGCTGGAGTTCAGTGGTGCAATCTCGACTCCGCAGCATTTATCTCCCAGGCTCAAGTGATCCTTCTATTTCAGTCTCTCTGGTAGCTGGGATTATAGGTATGTGGCACCTTGGTCAGCTAATTTTTAAAAATTTTTGTTGAGATGGGGTCTCACTATATTTCCCAAGCTAATTCTCTCACTTTTTTTTTTTAACATGGCTCTTTTTCCACGGTGCTGCTCAGCCTTCAATCAAATGAAATAATGGATTTTGCTGGAAACACAGTTCTTGTGAGAGGATGTCTTACATTCAGCTCTATGTAAGATGACCAGCATGACCAGCTTGTTCACTCTTCGCTCTTTTCTTTTCTTTCCCACTACTCTGTGAGGCAAAACAGCATTTACTATGGCACTGATGACATATCCTGAAGATTGAGTTTGAGACTATTTTTCCAAGGCCTGAAAAAAACCTACCATTGTAGAAATCCTTTCAACTTTTAACATAATTTTATTCTGAGTAATCAAATTCTGAGTTAATCTGAGTAATCAAATTCTGAGTTAAAGTTGGTAGAGAATTTTAAAGAGCAGAGAGCTGGCAGGTTATATTGTTTTAAATACAGTATTTATATATCTGATATACACATAGATAGGCTAAAGAATTGCCTGTCTACAAATCATGTACATTATTATTGCTTATTATAGATTTAATGCAAATGTGTTTAGTAACATTTTTTAAAATATTTATCTAAATTTGGAATATTAAACAGCTTTAGAATATTTTCATTTTCATCTATTCTATTGGTTGTTATGGAAATACATCTAAGTTAAGATGAACAAACATAAGATATGTTATTTAATTCTCATTATAAACATTACTTCAAAGTTTAAAATTTCTCATGTAACACCTATTAGATTTTTGGGATTTCCTGAGGTGTACTTGTAAGTCTATTCATATCTACTGGGCTTATGACTCAAAGAGAAGTCAAATAAGGAATAAGCTCCAAAAATAAGTATGTGTTAGTGGAGGATAACACATACCATCCTAACTTTGTTTCTTCTGCATAATATGCTAACTTTTCAGTATTTTTTCATAATTTTTTTAAATTTTCATAACCTAATTCTTTTTAGTTTTGACTCATATATACATACATGGTTCTTTGTATGTGTGAGAATGTTATTAATTCTATAGCTCTTAAATTTAAATGTTTTTCTTTTAAAAAATAAAGTTCATCCTCAATTTTTATTTATTAGGTGTATCTGGTAATTTTATTTTCATAACTTTTACTTAAAATTTTTTATTAAACTAATTTTAATTTTCAGGAATTTAAGCTTTATTATATTTGAGAGCTTACTCTTATATAAAGAGTAGAAGATCATCTGAAACCAATTATCTATAGTGCTTATAGGACCAATCCTTCATTCTGCTGCTTATATTTCTTTCTTAGCTGGCTAAAATGCTAGAGATCTCTGGTGAATTGCCTTTATGAATAAAAATGTGGCTTGATCTTTCTATCTATTTATTACCTATATATCTTATGAAGAACCATAAATACTGGATATTAATTGAGGCATCAAAAATAGTCTATTTCCATTGAGGTTTTTATCTTTCTATCTTTAATCTAAATTCACACAAAATATTTTGGAGAAAGTACAAATTTCACTTGAAAATAGCATACTGTGGGCCAAAATTTTCTACTTTCGTTATCTGACAAACTATTTGGGGGCTAGAAAACTGATTTCTCTTTAAGTTCTTTATCTATATATCTTTCAATGCAAAATTGAATTTCCTGCATAGTCTACCTATCTTAGTGTATCATAATTCTCAGCAGCTGGCCTTTTCCATTAGCAGGTAATTACTTTGTCCCCTTGTCACAGTCCTTGTTCAGAGTGGAATTAACTTTTGCTCCAAATAGGACATCTATGATTATGGATTGAGAGAGTTTAGATGTTGGAATAGCAGTAGAGTTTACTTTTCATTTCAAAAATGAAATAAAAAGTTTTATCAAATCTTACAGTAGATTATAATTTTCTTTAAGTATTAAAAAACTTATTTTTATTGACCTATTAATTTTTTTCAACTGAATTTTCAAATTTATCAGAGTAGCTATTTATATTATATACTTGTTACTGTTTGCTTTTTTTCTTTATATATAAAATGGAATTTAAATATCAGAAGCCGTATGTTTTCCATCTTAAAATGCAATTAGGAACTGAGAAACATAAAGGATATGATTATTTTGTAAATATTGGTAGATGACCAAATATTACAATGTTAATTCCTGACATGAAATACAGGAACTATAACAAAATAATCAGAAAAATAGAAGAACAGATGAGAAAGAAGAAAAATTTTTTAAGAAAGAATAAAAGAAACATTGTAACCATGAAACAAGAACTGGGTACTACAAAAATGGACATAAAGCCAAAAAAAAAAAGTAGCTGGAAATTTAAAATTGAATGAGATAAAAAATATGTGAAGAGAGAATTGGAAGAAGTTGAGAAAATCTTTCAGAAAGTAGAGCAAAAATGTCAACAACCTTGAAAACAGGAGAGAAAAATGAGAAATTTATGGGACCAGTGTAGTAGGTCTAATATCTAAAAAATAGAAATTCTATTAAAATTGGAAAAATGAGAAGTAAAACTTTAATTATTTTCTTGGAACAAACCCATCTTTTTTCAGATTGAAATGATTCCTGAGGTTTTATATAAATGTTGGATTTAGTGCACACCAAGACATAGCATCACAAAATTTCATAACCAAGGATTCAAAGGGAAAAAATAGCATATATAATTTCAGAGAGAAGAAAGAAACAAAGCAGATCTACAAAAAGTGATCAGAATAACCCTGGACTTTTCAAGGTAACATTGAAAGCTAAAAGTCAATGAAGAATTATCTTCAAATTTTCTAAAGAAAAAGAATGTCCTATTAAGTCTACGTAGCCAAGTGTCAGTTGTGGGACACTTAAGAGTATTTTCAACCATTCACATTCTCAAATAACGCATTTCTTTACCTAATAAGATATTGAAGAATGTGTTCCACCAATCAAAGGAATTAAACAAGAATAATGAACACATAAGACTTGGGGAGCAGGAGATCCAGCACGGAAAAGCAATCAAGGGAAGACCCCAAACTAAGAGATGTGCACTACTTGTATAAGGAAATCAGCTCTGAAGGATAAATCTAAAAGTTCCTGGGAAAAATCTTCTTTAAGCAGATGAAATTCATAGAATGCCTGACACATCTAAAGAGGAGATTTAGTAATTGATAAAGTGTTTGGAGCTGAATTAGTGGTAAGTGTAAAAAGAACCAAGCAAATGAATAAAATAAGGTATATGCAATACCTAGGGAAAGCCACAGAAATATGCAATAACTAGAGAACACTATGGGAAGGGAAAACGGATTGTATTCATCTGTACTCACACTGCTGAAAAGAATACTACCTGAGACTGGGTATATAAAGGAAAGAGGTTTATTTGACTCACAGCCCTGCAGGCTTAACATGAACCATGGCTAGGAGGCCTCAGGAAACTTAGAATCATGGCGGAAGGGGAGAAGGAAGTAGGCACCTTCCTCAAGGCCGCAAGAGAAAGTATATGTGAGAATGAGGAAGTGCCACACTTTAAAACCATCAGCTCTCATGAGATCCCACTCACTATCATGAGAACAGCATGGGGAAAACTGCCACAATGATCCAATCACCACCCACAGGTTTCCTTCATCCACTTGTGGGGATTATGGGGATTACAATTGGAGATGATGTTTGGGTGGGGACACAGAGCCAAACCATATCACTGATTATAGTCTATTACACAGCTCAGCTTAAAGAAAAAATTTAATGTTGTGATAATATATACTCCAAAAATTAATCTAAAGAAGTTACAGTGTAACTTCAATGGAATTAAGTGGAATTGTTCTAAATATTTGGGGGTGGGGGGGTGAGAGGAGAGAATGCTAAATGCTTGTGATCTGCAGTGGAAGTATGTAAACAATACTTAAAACTGGGAACTCAGACTCAACAAGAAGCAAAAAGATTATGTTCTTTAGAAATATGGTAAGTTATGCCAAAATAATCAGGCAAAAAGCATAAATAAAAGAATATGATTAGAGACATGGTGATATATACCAATATAAGTGGCTAAAAGAGATAAAAATTGTTGCTACAAAGAGGGGAAAATTTGAAAGTAGAGGTGGAAATTCACTAATTTTCAAATAACATTTCTGGGCTGGGTGTAGTGGCTCACCCCTGTACTCCCAGCACTTTGGGAGGTGAGGCAGATGGATCACCTAAGTTCAGGAGTTTGAGACCAGCCTGGCCAACAATGTGAAACCCCCTCTTTACTAAATACAAAAAATAAGCCCAGAGTGGTGGCACATGCCTGTAATCTCAAGCTACTTGGGAGGCTGAGGTAGGAGAATTGCTTGAACCCAGGAAGCAGAGGTTGCAGCAAGCTGAGATTGCACCATTGCACTCCAGCCTGGGCAACAAGAGCAAAACTTCATCGCAAAAACAAAAAATCATGCTATTTGGCACTTTTAAACTCTTTTGAATTAAATATTTTATAAAATTAAAACTAAGAAAAAAATAGAAACACGGAAACTAATCAAGACAAAAATCCCAATGACCAAACCACATAAAATGTAATATTTTTAATGGTCTTGAACTTCTGTCCTTTTGAGAACCTTCCAACTTGGCCTCCCCAAGTGCTGAGGTTACAGGCATGAGCCATCAAGCTCAGCCTGGAAGATATTTTTAAAGCTCATGGTTAAACCTAAGAAAGGTAAGTGCATACACATGGATTTCTCAGCCACTTGAAAAATTTGACATAGTGCTTATCTGTGTTATTAAAAGGCTTTGTTTTGAAGTCAACCTGGGCATATTTGAGTGTGGATAACAGGTATTTTATTTATTTATTTTTTCTTATTTACTACCAATAGGTACTACAAAATAAACGTGTGTTCTTGTAAGCCACCTTGAATTTTTTTCGGGAACAAATTGAGGTGTAAATGACCAGTACTGATATAAGACCTATTAATATTTCAAAACTTGCAAATATAAAACAAATGGAGGAGAATGAGATGTCTGGTACCAACAACTATAATACGGATTTAGGAAATGAAAACATCATTATTAGATTCAATAGCATGTGATCTAAAATTATTTAATTAACACTTCAAATGACCATCATGTAGTAACTTTTGTGTTTTGAGTTGTATCAACCACAAAATATAGCATGTTCTTTTTTATGAAGGCAATAGAATTTGTATATGAGATAATTTATTTCATTTAATAATTACAAAATACAAGACTAAAACCAAAAC